ATCGGGCGGGCGGGCGCAGGGGCGGCCGCAAACTTTGAGCGGAGCCAGCGGGGCCGGCCCGGGCCGGGAGGGGGCGGCCCGGCGCGCCGCGGCCCGGCGTCAGGGGGCGGCTCCGCCCGCGGCCGCGCCCCGCGCCTCCGGCCGCGCTCGGCGCCCGCAACTTGGCAAAGTTTGGGGGGCTGGGTCCCGGCGGCGCCCAAGGCCCGCGTGGGTCCCTTTTTTCTTCTAGGCTTCAGCGCCCGGAGATTCGCTATTTTACCGCTTCGTCTCTTTCCTTCTTTTTTTTTTAAATAGCTAGGTAGGATTTCAGAATTACTTTTTCCCCCCCTTGGATGTGGGGGCAGGGATGGAAAATTACCTGGAGAAAATGGTGGCGAGTGGTATTTTTAAGCACGTAGATCATTCCAGACGCCGAAGTCTGGCCATTCCCCAGAATAAGAACAACCAATTCTTGACATTGATTTCAAATAAATTTCGTGTCCCTGTCTGTATTAAGTGGTTTTTAACCCTTTGGGGGCCTATGAGATTCCTTGGAGACTGACAAAAGCCAGAGGCCTCTTCCCTGGAATATTTACTCTTGCATCCACATAATTCTACATCTTGACTCATTCAGACATTTAAGAAGCGCCTACTATGTGCCTGGCACCGGTCCAGGCGCCAAGGATACAAGAATGAACTTGACAAAGTTTGTACTCTCCTGGAGTGTGCATTACAATTTTCGGTCCTTCTTCCACGCCCACCCCTCCAGCCCATCCTCAGGTCTGACTGAAACATATCATCAAATATACATCTTGGATTAGATGACTAAGCTTTTGAAGGTACCGTTTCTTGGAGTTCCGCTTAAATAGTAAAGCTCGTCAAAATACACAAGATACCCACCCTTTTCTCCCGTTTTTAATCGCCATGCCTTGCAGATTTTTTAATTAGTCACAGACCTTCAGGCACATCTGGATCTAGTGAAAAAGACATCAACCTCCCTGCCAAGAGGTAAGGGTTACCACACATGCCTTCCCTCCTCCCCTCTAGGATTCAAAGTGCAGGTGGTGCCCCCTCTCCAGCTTAACCAGCACCCCCTGTGATCAGCTTTAGGCTAGTTCAGCCAAGGATGCTCAGTGAAATTTTATTTCGTGAATGAATTAATGCCAAGCTCTCCTACGCTGCCCCAGGGGCCCAAATACTCTAGAGTAGCATTGTCCGATAGAAATATAAATGCGAGCCACATACATAATTTTAC